TTTTTTTTTTTAATATATAGATATATATTTTTATTCAACTTATTCTCATGTCAAAATTCTTATTGATCATTATCAATCATGAATACACTTACCTCCTTGGGGAAAAAATTGAGAAAATATTTCTTTAAAGGACTCTTCAGTTACAACACCTGTTGGGCATTCCTGAAGATTGAATTCTTTACTTTAAAAACCTAATTTATTTTATAATTTAAAAAAAATTTCAAATTATTTAAATAATTAACCTGTTTAAATCCTTGATACATGAGCCTAATTTCGTTCTTGCTGAAATTTGTCGTTTTGCAAAGTGCATCTAATCTTTCCGGTTTATAACGAGCAACAAAATGATCCACGTCTTCGAATTCTTTTTCTGTGTGGGAAATTTTAGAAATTTAATATGAAATAATTATATTTTCTTGTAAATACGCTGAAAACAAACCACGAGGAATCATAAAAACGGGAGTATTACAGCTATAATTTATTAATTTTAATGAGCTAAAAACTGATCAAATTTATTATTTATCTCTTAAAATTACTCTCTTGACAATTATAACTGAATTATTTTTATATTAATTTTAGAATCACAATCGATTCTTTGAAGTTTTTTTCTTTTTTTTTTCATATCCTGAAGTAATTACACAAACATTCTAAAACAACTTTCTTAGTTGCAGATAATAAATTAAATCTGAATATTGTTAGATTTTAATGATGTTAATTCTGTTTCAAATTTTAATGGGGAAAAATAATAATAATAATAATAAGCAACTAATTATTTATTTTAAAGTAACATTTTATATTCTTCATCACAATTAGATAAATTAATATTGGGCTGCTTTATCTAGTAAAGTGGGGGTTCTAATAAAGTTGGTTACACAAACCAATAACATAGTCCGTTTCAAATGAAACAGGCGATGCCATTGGTTTGTTTGTACAGCTGTATTAAAGTCACTTCACTAGGCATTTCCCATTGTTTCTGATATAAAATGTTATGAATAAAACAAAATTTATAATTCTTCATTTTAATACTTAATAATGTTTCGTTTTTTATACTTTTATAATAAATTCCTTCTTCATTGTTAATGCTTTACATGGGAAAATGATTTCAAATTCTTCCTATGAAAATTCATTCTGTCAGGCATCACATACGTCTATAAATCGTTAAATATTAAAAAAAATTATACTTTAGAAGTTAATCTAGTATCAAAAACGTTCAATCCAGCATGATACAGTCAACTGGAATGCTTTCGGTTGATTGGCATTCAGATAATAAACACTCTACTGTACATACATTTTAATCTAAAAGAAATATTCCTTTATACATAATATGTGAAATTTAGAGACCAAAATAATTTTTTTTAAATAATTGTTTTTTTTTTTCTGATTTTCTTTTTCTGCATGTAAACATAAAAACACACCAGAAAATATAGTGAAGCATTGAAATTCCAGACTAGTTAGGGCCAGACCCATCCAGATTTTCAAATACTATATTGATATCTTATTGATAAACACAATATTGAGCTCTTGAAAATCTTGGTTGGAGATCTTCACAACATAATGAGACACTTATTTTGTTACTTTTTTTCTTTTCTTTAGGCTTGTTTTTTATGACAATGCCTAGTGTGATGTAGCAGAATGTAGAATTTTTATTGTTTATATTTAAACATGTTTGGTGTTTGCTTATTTATGTTAGATTTCCATTAATATTTTGTATATGTTCAATTTTTTGAATAAAAACCTAATGGTTTAATAAACCTTTTTTGCTGCTGGACAAGATTGTGTGTAGATGTTTGAGTGATATACTGCAGCAGTTACTTTAGGGATTCTTGAATACATGTATAAATTAGCATTTTAGTACTGAAAACTCCAAATACACTGTAATTCAAGTGTGTGCGTTCTAAATTCAAGCCAATATTCCACAAGGAATATAGAGATACTTACAAAGATTCAAAATATAATTAACAGAACTACTGCATTTAAGCAAAAAATACAGTAATTATATTAAATTTCAAAATCAAAAAATTCTGAATGAACATTAGAACATCAATAAGAGAAGGCCAAAAGAACATCAACAACAAAGTTACCATTGAAAGAGTTAATATTTCTTTTTTGATGACCACATCTGGATTTTGACACTTCACTATTCATTCAAATTATGTATTTATACACATATTAAGAAAAATAAAATGTAGTCTTTAAAATATTTTAAAGTCTATATATGAGAAACCAGGGGTAGATGAATGTAATCTCTACCACTTAAATGTGGGCAGATCTTCCAGATCTGATCACAGAGTCATAGGATGAGTTCTTAAGAATATATTTTTGTACAGGGAAGTCATAAATGGCCCTGTAAGTTGTTTTTCCTGACACAAGCCTAAATAGTGTGTTAGGCACACTAATGAATAAATTAATATACTTTTTTGAGTAGGAGGGACCGTAAGTAAGTGATAAGACTTTGGCGCAGCTTTGCATTCAATAACAAGACCATTTAAAGTAACAAAACATTATTTAATAAGAAATAACAAATAAAATACAGCTATGGAGAGATTATTAATCCCTATCTTATTCACGTGAGAGAGAGATTTACAAGTATTAAGACGTACTACCTCAATTGTAGATCTTGAACTATATCTTCTGATTGATGACGAATCATTGATAAGGCGGGATGACTACAGTGAAGTTTGGGAGAAGGATGAAGTTCTAGGCGGGAACTTATGATGCACAAATTACTTCTGTGGATGAGAGATTCTTATGGCACTTTACAAATTCTTGTGGACTGCTGGTCTCTTATGGCAAATCTGTTCTTCTGTAGACTGCGTGTCTCCT